TTGTGTACAAATTTTTGGTCGTTTTAAAAAACGCGTTTTCGAAAATAGGTAAGAGAACGCGTTTTTGTTGTTTTGAAAAACAGAAAATAGAAAACGACCCAAAAAAGTCAAAGAGGACAGTACCTTAATTTTGTTGGTTCTATTGAATTTAGGGTGCTTTATTGGAGGCCTAAAAGGATTGGTTCACAGAAAAGAATATTGAAGAGATGTTTGGACAGGGTTTTATGTCCCTTTATTTTATTTATTTTTTATTTTGAGCCTGCCAATACTGGAAGGATTGATACAAGTAGTCCAACTGAAAATGATTTTTTGCATATGTAATTTTCGTCTATTTGTTGTTACGAGCACCAAAAAAGACATTTTGAGGACATAAATGCAGCCAAAAACTGAATGGGGACCCAAGTGAGACAAATGGTAATGTTTGAGGACTGTGGGTGAGAATTTCTCTAAAATAAAAAGTTTCCTTCCCTCGATTAACCAATTTCAAACTTTCAAAAAACCCCCCTTTCCCTTTCTTTTCAGTTCAGCTCCTGAATCCCTCACCGGTCCAGAAATTAAACCAAATCAATGGCGCCGGCGACGGCATCCACGGCAGCATCCTGGTCAGAAGAACAAGGCCCAACGCTGAAACTCATAGTGGAAAAGGGCCCACTTTCCGGCCAAGCCTTCGACTTCAGATCCGGATCACGGATCCAAATCGGCCGGGTCGTCCGCGGTAACAGTATTACTATCAAAGATGCCGGCATTTCCTCCAAGCACGTAGTAATCCAATTTGCACCAAATTCGCATCCGGATCCTGGCCCGAAAAGCTGTCAATGGACCATAACGGACCTCGAGTCTTCAAATGGCACCATCTTGAACGACGCCCAGCTCGAACCCGCCGAACCCTGTGTTCTATCTGACGGTGACGTTGTCAAGATCGGTGAGATGACTTCGATTAGAGTCAAATTTGAAGAGACAGGTCGCGAAGGTGGGGGTAATGTTGGAAAAACTAGGAGGAATCCGAGGCGAGGGGCAGCTGCTCAAGGACAGAAGGTGGTGGAATTGGCGGTGATTGACGAGGATTCCGAGTTAGGGATTGATGATAGATTGGGGGATAGGAATAATTTGAGGGGAAGGGATAGAAGCGGAAAAGATGTGGTTATGGAAAATGA